GAAAAGGATCACTTTTATATGTGCCAGAGGTTACAAGGAAAAAGGAAAGAGATTGCCGACCTGAAAATCAAAATGTTTCACATTTTAAATGTCAAATGAAATCAGAAGCTTTTAAGACAATCATTTCTGAGATTTTTTTTTTTAATTTAGAGTTCCAAGAATTCAAATTATCGGCAAATCAGTTATATGGTAAGAGATGACCCAGACCAACTTGCTACCTTGGGAAATAAAGGTAGGCGTGAACACTGGGATTAGAATGAGACCCATGGGCAGACTTGGAACAAAATCCTAATTTTAAATACTGTTTCTAATAAAAAGATCTCGGATGTTTGTTACTGAGCTGACTTGTCTGTGAAGAAGACTAAAAACAAAGAAAAAGAGAAAGGTTATTATTTTTCCAGTAAAAGCTGCTTACCTGGCCAGATAGTGGTGACCTTTCCAATACGGTAAGATATAATAACCTGGATGCAGCATCAGTATGTAAGCTGTCTCCTGTGCTTTTCCTTACCAGTCTCTCTTGGTTCTTTCCCAACGACTCTTTTGTAGTCATACCCAATTTTCTTACCACTTTTCACTGGGGAAGGAAATGAGGCTTTTGTTTCTTGTCCAGGAATCACTTGATTGTAAAAACCTTGTGAGAATACTCAGTGAGGATGAGAACTAGCTTTAAAAGCCATGAATTTAAAGAGATGGAAAGGGGCGTCTTAGCATTTTTTAATGGACAACTACAGCTTTGTGAAGTGTAATGACCAAAGTACTAAAGTTAACATATGTTAATCTTGCTTTTTTAGTCACTTGTTTGGCCTTCCTGCAAGGACTATTTCTGTGAAGAACATAGGATACAAGATTGCAATCAAACCTTGTGAAGAGGGTGTTCTGACATGAGGACACACAGATGCACAGCTGTACAAACAGAATACACAGGTAAGAGAGTTCTCTGGTATCTGAAGAGTAGCTGGTCTGGAACAGTAGTGGCTGAGAGCTGATGGGAAGGCAGCCTGTCCTAGTTGGCTCCTCCCAAGAGTGCGTTTGGACCTGACGTGACTGGGTCACTGACATGAGATGACTTTGAACGTGGTAGATGCATCCCGGGGTGTGTATTTTTATATCAGAACACCTTTTCTTCTTTGCCACACAAACCTTTTGGAATCATAAACTCATAACTGTGTCAGGTTGGTCATTTTTAACTGGCATATTTGCAACTAAAGGTTTGCTGATTCATTTGAAAATGAATTTTGTCCCTTAAAATGTGTAGACATTTTTCAAGTGGGACCTGTTTATGCATAACCGAGATGAAGATTTATGGGAGGTGCAACAAATGTGTCTCTGTCGTGCCTCAGGGAAATGTTAGCGATGTTGGCAGGAAGAACATGAAATGGTGGCAGGCACCAGGATTTAGGTTTTATTTTTTCAATTTTATTTTTGCTACGCTTGTACTTTGTTCCTCTTTTAGAAGCAGCGTGATGTCAGTCACATTTAAATCAGATGAAAACCTGAATTTTTCATATTAATTAAAGTTCAGTGGATTCCTTATAAAGACTACATGAAAAGATCAGCAGAGATGGGGGCAGGGGACAGTCACATGGGATGGATTTTCTGCAGATTAGTTGTGGTGGGGTTGAACTTCCTCCTGGGTTTTTCTGGACTGCTTCCAAGTTTAGAAAGCAATTGACAAACAACGTTATTTTATCCTGCATACACTCTTTTTTTTTCTCCTGACAAAGAACATAAATGAAGAGGAAGAAGAGAGGTTTCCAGTGAGTGGTGATGCAGGCATGTTCCTGTGTGTGTTTATTGCAATGCTCCCTACAGTAACAGATTTGTGGGGGAAAAAATGTTCTAACAGGGCTGCTTCATCTCTGACAATGTTGGGCAGGGAACAGTAAAGCCTAAGCTGGAGATGTAACAGGTGCCTGTGACTGGCCGCTTGAAGCTTTGATCACAGCTGTTCCTGTCCAAGTTTTTAGAAGATTGCCATATGACTCACTGTTTGAGAATTTTCTCGTGGGGGGTGGGTAAACTAAGCAAACTATACCTCCCTCTTCTTAAGGTCTCAATGGCAAACTTAAGTTCTGTTCCATACTAGTTGACCCTTGGGAACCAAAGAATGTATTCTGCTTACTTACAGCCTGTGGGTGACCCTAAAGCAGCTACCCTAGAAAGCGTTCAGCTAGAAGGGGGATGGCAACCAGCAGCTGCACAGGTGGAATCCCTGTCAATTCAGGCTATTGACACTAGTCCCTCCTAACACAAGCCAATAAAGTGGAATTGCATACAAATGGTTGAGAGGGTTAGGGGTGACTGGAGAGTCAACTAAAGGATGTCCACTCCATTCTAGGAAGGAATATTAACAGTCCTTAGAGCCGATAGTGATGAACTTTCACAGCTAGGCACAGCTGATCTCATAAAGAATGCAGCAGTTTGGTTAGGAGAATAGTGCCTAACAACACCTATTCACCAAGCTGAAGGACCTGAGTTCCATCTCCATAACCCACCTAGGGGAAGATAAATGACTTTTGCAAGTTGCCCTTGGACCTCCACTCATGTGCTTGGCACATACATACATACATACACACACAATAAATAAATAAATAAAAATTTTAATAAATGAAACAAATGCAATGCTCTAGTTTTATTCTGTTACTGTGATAAAACACTAACCAGAAGCAACTTAGGAGAGGAAAGGTTTTATTTTATATTATAGGTTATAGTTCATCATCAAGGGAAACTGAGGCAAGAACTCAAGCTTGAACTGATGTTAGAAGCCACTGAGGAAGGGTGCTTACTACCTTGCCCTGTGACTTGCTCTCAGACTTGCTCAGATAGCTTTCTTATACAACCTAGAACCATATGCCCTGGGATGGTACTGCCCACAGTGGACTGGGCCCTCTCATATCAATAGAAATCAAGATAATGCTTCAACATATGCCCAAAGGCCAACATGATCAAGGAAATTCCTCAGTTGAGGAACCCTCTTTCCATTTGACTCTAGATTGGTCAAGTTCACAATAAAAACTAACCAGCACATGTAATTTTTTAAAAATTTTAAAGAATAAAATTCAACATAATGGAGGAATGTATATAATATGACTAAAAAGTAAAGCTAGACACATGGATTCAAATAAAAGTTGCTGATGCAAATCTCATTTAGCTGCCTGTTAAAATAGCTATCACTTGGAGAAGGTTATGTTCTTGATCTGGTCTCCATGGATTCCCCATCCACAGGGTTTCCAGCAAGATGCTGACTATAGGACATACACAGAGCCTGTCTGTCTTTGAATGTGTTAGCTTCCAAATGCCTAAGGCTTCCTGATTTAAGAGCTACTATTACTGTTACTGCTGTAAATTGGCTTTCTTTGTCTACCTTTGTCTCTTTATACTTGGATTGCTGGTTAGAAGGAGATGGTTTCTAGTAAGGAAACCTTAAATTAACCTTGAATCTGTCCTCCTTTGCTTTTGGTCCAGGACATTCAAGGGGACCAAATCCCATTCCACATACCCATATGGAATGAATGCTTCTTCTGTCTACCCATTTAAATCTCTTGCTGAAGGCTTTGTCTGCTAATTGGTCACTTTGTCTCATCAAGGTAGAGTTTAGGATACTGGGTACTTAAAATCTAATATATCACTTCACAATCACGTTCCGATTACATAGCCTGCATTGGTAATAGACATAAACAAAGTAGGTGTGACATAGAGTTTACATTACCATTATTGAAGCATTCACAGAAAAATACAAGAGCTAGAGGATGGGGAAGAGTTCTGGGGACAGTGTCTCCTGGATAGAACAGGAACATTGTACCATGAACTCCTTGCAGCTGTGGTTACCTGCGTAAGACCTGCACAAGACTGGGTCTGTCAGCATTTCATTATGCAAGGAGGAGGGGCCCAAGAGGCTCCACCGCTCACTGAGGCACCATGTTGAATAGATAAAGGGTGTTAGGGGAGGGAGGGAGTGTCATTTCTTTCAGTGGTGTATCCACTGTTAAGTTAACCATGTCCCAGTAAATTATATTGCTTATTCAAGCAACCATAATTAAGCTCAGTGGATTAAAAAAAAGGCAAAAACAACCACGGACATCAAAGTGAGGAGGAGGGGGGCTTGCTGGGAATAGGGTTCAAGTGGGAGAGGAGAGCAGACGAGAGAGGGTCATGGAGGAAGAAAATGCCCAAAATTCACAATATATATATATATATGTATGAAATTATCAAAGAATAAAACAACAAGAAAACCATAAATATATGCTTGCACTGATCTTAAAAGAAAAAAAAATAGCAAGAACATGGGCTCTTATCATGATTGTTCCAAGATCCTTTGATATAGGGATCAGTTAACATAAGACCTGCGAAAGTTAAGAACCATGGTTACTGAATATGTGGTTTACCTAGAACCCATCTTCTTTATGGTGACCATCACAAAAAATTTAATTGTAGCTTTATCATATAGTAGAAAAATGACCTATTCTATCATTATGTTTTTATTGAAATTAATACCTTCCAAGAAAAATGTCTGAATGAAAACACTCTCCCTGAAAAACAATATACATTAATCGCTAACATTGTTGATATATCTTTAAAATATTTTATCATTTTTATTTTATGAGTGTGTTGCCTGCATATGTGTAAGTGCATCCATATTGCCCAATACCCACAGAGGCCAGAAGAAGGTGTCAGATCCTCTGGAACTGGTCTTATGGGTGATTGTTACCTGCCACGTGGGTTCTGGGAATCGAACCCGGGTCCTCTGAAAGAGTAGCCGTGCTCTTAACTACTGAGCCATCTCTCCAGCCCTGAATTGTTGATATTTTTCAAGGACCCCAAACCTCTATAAGATGGAGAATATGGGGAAAGAACTATGGAATATGTATTTGAAAATTTTAATAACAAAAACTGCCTTTTAAATATATTCTAATTTTTATACCTGCACATTGAATTCTAACAAAAAATTATTAAATAATCCATGGTAAAAAGTCAGTTGCTGCTCATATTCCATGAACCAACTGATACACATTTTTTATGTCATTGAAAGCAAAGGTGTTTTTGAAGCAAGATTTATACTTTGGGGGCAAAAAAAACAAGAAAACAACAAAAGAAATGAAAGTAAAGAAGGAAAGTAGGTTATTGGATAAAGGAAGAAGAATCATGGGGCATTTAAATCTTATGATGAAGCAACTTTGTTGGAGTTATAAAATCCCATTAATTCACGGGATATAAAATCAGATACATTGAGGCTGGAGAAATAGCTCAGAGGTTAAGAGCACTGGCTGCTCTTGCAGAGAATCTGAGTTTGGTTCCTAACATCCACATGGTCATTTACAGCTGTCTGTAACTGACAGACAGGGGATCTGACATCTTCTTCTGATCTGCTTAGGCACCAGCCACACATGTGGTGCACATACATACATGTAGGCAAAACACTCATACATATAAAGATAAATAAATCTTAAAGAAAATGATCAGATACGTTATGGCCAGGGTGGACGGGATGTAGCTTAGCAACACAGTGCTTGCTTGGTATGCCAGTGGTCCTGAATTCAACCCTTAGTATGACAAAATGGAAACAAAACTCAAAACCATTATATTCATAAAATAATTAGAAAAAACATAAAATTCTACACTACTTTGTCCCTGATGCAGTCTTTTAGAAAAGTGAGCCGATTCATTCCTCCTTCCCTATGATGTTTACACTGAACTTGAAAACCAACTTCCTGATTAGAAATTACTGAACAGGTAAGCAAATAATTATATTTGTACCAATGATCAGTTCTGCAGAGATAAAACATATGCTTTCATATACAAAAGACAAAGATAAATATATCTAACAGAGAAGCACATTTAACTGAAGGAATTCTGAGTGTTCACTACGTACCTTTCACTGTATAACGTACATGTGTGCACTCTCAGTGACATAAAGGTTGACCACCAAGGGATGGGTAAAATTTGCATACATACAGACTTGATGAAGCAATTGTGGTACCTTCTTTGTACTATTTTATGTATAAGAAATAGGAATTTTGTGTTCAAAATTGTTTTTGAATGCTCAGATAAATTTGAATAAACCCAGCCACCATGAATCTGCTAAACTCACTATGAATCACACCAAATGGCACACCAATGCCATCCTTACTTTAACAGTGAAAGACATGACTAAAATGGTTTATTTGATAATAATTGAAAACCTTCATATCAGGCATATTTATTTGCTATCAGGAGACTTTTCCATGGAGCAAATGCAGTATATTTTCAAACCCATCATTCAGAGGTTATTTTTATTCATCAATTTGAATTATATTTTTCTCCTTAACATTGGTTTTCTGTTTGCAAGAAAAAGAGAATAGAAAAAGCCCTCTTTTAGAATTGCATGCCCAGTTTTGTACTTTGTGGGTTTTGATGAAATGAAAATGCAGTACTTCATGTGGCTGGTTCTTGGGGAGGCAGCAATGCGCGTTCTGTCTTGCTTCTTCATTAATATCTATGCAGTCACAGAAGGTCACATACACACCAGAAATTGAGGAATTCAACTCAGATGGCAAGAAAATGAGTTTATTAAAAGTAAGTCGAGTATTTGCTTAATTTTTCAGCTGGGAGAAAGTAGAAGCTGTTTTTAGTGAAGCCTTCACAGTTAAAGCTCTCCGTGGCATTCTGTCTTTATACTCTGTTCCATTTGCACTGAAGAAATAATGCTCTGAGTATCAAGAATGGAATAAAATATTCACCCAGGAAAATTTTTGTGGGGACCCAAAGAATTTAAATTCTAGTTGAGGATCCTGATGAATACAGTTGTAGCCTCTTTGGGGTCACTATGTGTCTAAGATTCATGCCTTTGCTTTAAATTCTGCAACCATCTTGAAAGCCAGATTTTATTATTATCCTTTTAGATAAGCAGAATAAGATTCAGAGATGTTAAAAAATGGGCATCGTGGAAAATGTTTGTGATTCCTAAAACCAGAACACCAAAACAGAGCTCTAGTTTAAAGGATGGAGATGTCCCATCACATTACAACCTTTGTGGATGGGATCTTGGGTTAACTGATCAGGAAAAGATCATGTTCCCCAAATACACATTTAATGCAATAAAAACTAAAAACTGAGAAGTTTCCTAAATCTGGTACATAGGAATTGCTACTGTTGCAAACATCAGTGTCAAGGGCTAATCAGAAACTATCGCATAAATCTATTTTGAAGTTAACTTTTCCTAGGCCCTAGCATCAAGATACTGGTGATATAAAATAAACTTAAATGTAAATAAATAAATTAAATAAATAAATAAATATGCGTACTAACACACGCACACTGACACAATGTGAATTTTTAGATGATAGAATTAGAAGGAATACTTACCTATTTGACTGTCATGCTTTACCACAATCTGAACAAACTGAATGAAAACAGTAGAATTACAAAGTGTTCTTTTAAGCTTATTTCTGAGCACATCTTTGTACTTGGTGCCGTATTTTGTGATGGATCTGCCTGTTATATAAATCACAACTATAATAAGCATGCAAAAAGCTTTTAAGAAAGTTGAGTATTAAAGTATATTTTTTCTGTATCAATGTTTTATATAATGAGATGTTAAAAGTCCAGTTTAAAGATGTAAATATTTCACACGATAAAATGTACAGAACATAGAAATTGTGGCATGATTACATCAATTGTGAAAATGGGTCATCATTTGAACAATTGACCCTACACGGAGGGCAATCCTCCAAATAATTTAAATTTCATTTTTTAATAGGATTCTTTTGAAATCCTACTAGTCAAGCCTCATGTTGATCTGAAAGATACTGCCTTTTATTTTCTTCCCTGTATGTATAAATTAATATTTAATTCACAAGTGATAAAACTTACTTATATAAAAAGAAAGAAATTATTTTTAAAATGGTTTAGGGTCACTTAGAAGTTAAGGAATAAAGTTGGGTAGAAGAAAAAACAAAACAGAAGCAGTTATACAAATGTTATTGGAATTCTACATTCTGCTCCATTCTATTCTCTCTCTCTCTTTCTCTCTCTCTCTCTCTCTCTCTCTCTCTCTCTCTCTCTC